TGCTGCTGCTGCTGCTGTTGCTGCTGCTGCTGCTGCTGCTGCTGCTGCTGCTGCTGCTGCTGCTGCTGCTGCTGCTGCTGCTGCTGCTGCTGCTGCTGCTGCTGCTGCTGCTGCTGCTGCTGCTGCTGCTGCTGCTGCTGCGGCTGCGGCTGCGGCTGCGGCTGCGGCTGCTGCTGCGGATGGTGGTTGCCGTGGCTGCGGTGGGGGTGCTGGTGCTCGTGGTGTAGGTGTGGTACTTGTAGTCGTCGTGTACGTGCTGCTGCTGCTGCTGCTGCTGCATGTGCACTTGCTGCTGCTGCATATGCATTTGCTGCTGCTGCTGCATATGCATTTGCTGCTGCTGCTGCTGCTGCTGCATATGCATTTGCTGCTGCTGCTGCTGCTGCTGCTGGTGTATCATGAGTGTCACACGTGTTGGTGTCTTTGAAGGTGCTGCTGCTACCGCTGCCGCGGCTGCAGCATCCCCTCTTCCGCTGGCGCTGCTGCTGCTCCCCACTCCCGCAGCAGCAGCAAAATGCATGTGCTGCTGCTGCTGCTGCTGCTGCGCAGGCAATAGCGGTGTCGGTGATCACTGTGGGGTCGACTTCGTGCGGTTTGCTGCACGGAGTGCTGGGTTCGAGTTTGGGGCCTTCAGTGGAGGCCACGCGTTTTCGGTTTTTGCTGCTAGGGTTTATTTATGCACTTTTGTTTTTATTTGGAACTCTTTTGATGCTTTTTGTTGTCAAAGAAGAAACCCTAGAGCCTCAGTACCCTCCCCAAACCCTCACCCTTTCCCAGTGGCTCCACGCCGGCGTTTACTCCGCGCAGCAGATGTTCCTCAACGTGTGAGCGAGGGTTTAGGGTTTAGGGTTTAGGGTTTAGGGTTTGGGGTTTGGGGTTGGACGCTCGCATTTGGGTGATATGCGGTGGAATTTTCTCGCGTTTTGCGGGCTCGCCAGTGTGGGGCCTCAGTTGTGTGCAGGGACGAGGGTTTGGGGTTTAGGGTTTAGGGTTTAGGGTTTCGGTGGAAGTTCCGGCGTTCGACGAGTAAAGGGTGTAATTTTGCCGCGTTTGGCGGGTTTCGCTCGCCGCCGCCCCCGGCGCGCGTAGGGTTTAGGGTTTAGGGTTTAGGGTTTGCGCGCAGTCCGTTTTTCCTGCTGATGGTGGCCTACTCGTGCATGATCATGGCCGGAGCAGTGACCCCCATGCTGCTGCCTTACTTCTGCAAACATGTTGTTCAATCCCGCGAGGCCTTCGACTGGGCGCCGCTGCTCTTCACGGCCAGCGCGGTGGGCGGAATGCCCCTGTGGGTTTTCCTGGGCAGTTCTTACCTGAAGGTGGAGAAGAAGTGGAGGTTTGTGCTTGCAGGAGTGAGCAAACCCTAAACCCTAAACCCTAAACCCCAAACCCTAAGCGCTAAACTGTAAACCCTGGGGGGCGAGCGGGGAGGTTGCGGGATTGCGCGGGGAAGGGTGCACGGGACACTTGGGGATAAACCCTAAACCCTAAACCCTAAACCCTAAACCCTAGGGTGTGCGGGTTGGGGTTTGGGGGCGGGTGGGAGCTCGGGGGAGAGCCGCGAAGGAGTGGGGAGGGAGCCCGCGTGGCGAAGAATTTGCGGACCAGGGTTTAGGGTTTAGGGTTGAGGGTTTAGGGTTTGCGCGCAGGTGTGGGTGGGGTTTTTTCTGGGACTTTCGGCCTTAATTGTAAAACCCGGAGACAACGCTTTGTTCATTTCGCTCTCCATCATCGGGGGTTTAGGAATGGGAGGATACTTCGCAACTCCCGAGGCCATGAAGCCGGACGTGGTGGACTACGACGAGTTCCGGACGGGAGCCAGGTTAGGGTTTAGGGTTTAGGGTTTAGGGTTTAGGGTTTGGGGTTTTGCGTTTGGGTTCTTGGCTCCTTGGGGAGGGCGTTTCGCGCTGCGCGGAGTTAGGGTTTAGGGTTTAGGGTTTTGCACGTGGCTTCGTGGGAGCGTCGCGGTGGGTGTGCAGGGCGTAGGGTTTAGGGTTTAGGGTTTAGGGTTTGGGCGCGGGCGGGTGGAGTTTGTGGGGGTTTTCGTTGGAATTTGGCGCGGTCTGCGCGGAATTGAAAGACGAAAACGAAAGTAGTTTCCGAAAAAGCATTTAAGTTCTCGAAAGCTTTTTAAAGTCCACAATGGCCACAATAAACGAACCTTGTGGCGATCAGGCACGAGGCGCGCTTCGCCGGAGTGTTCATGTTTTTCGCCAACATCTGCGCGGGAATTGCCCTCGAAGTTATGCTGCTGCTGCTCGACAACTTCGGATATGACGGCAGCAAACAAATCGGAGAACCCGAACCCCAAAAAGTGGTTTTGCTGCTGCGCGTCGGCTTCGGCAGCACTTTGCTGCTGCTGCTGCTGCTCATTGTGCCCGCCATGGCCTGCTACCCCATCACCCGCCAGAAGCACGCCGTGAGCTTTATTTATTTACTCATTTAGTATTTATTTATTAGTCCTTTCTTCGTTCGTTTATTTATTGTTTGTTTTTGTTTTGTTTATTTCTTTTGCTTCGCTTTTTTGGCGCGTTTGCTTTCCTTCGACTTCTCTGGGGATCTTGTGGAGGGCTTCTGCGCTTTCGCCCCAGGGGTGTTGGCTAGCTGGCTAGCTAGCTAGCTAGCTAGCTTTGGCTCGCTGGGTGGCTAGCTGGCTAGCTGGCTAGCTAGCTAGCTAGCTTTGGCTCGCTGGGTGGCTAGCTTGCTAGCTAGCTAGCTAGCTAGCTTTGGCTCGCTGGGTGGCTAGCTTGCTAGCTAGCTATCTAGCTAGCTTTGGCTCGCTGGGTGGCTAGCTTGCTAGCTAGCTATCTAGCTAGCTAGCTAGCTAGCCTTGGCTGGCTGACTGGCTGCCTAGCTAGCTAGCTAGCTAGCCTTGGCTGGCTGACTGGCTGCCTAGCTAGCTAGTTAGCTGACTGACTTGGCACGTAGAGCTAGCTAGCGAGACAGAGGGAAAGGCAGCCATGTCACCTAGCTAGCTAGCTAGCTAGCTAGCACGCTAGCTAGCTAGCTAGCCACATAGCTAGCTGGCTAGCTAGACGTTTCTCCTGCTGTTTAATGATTCTGTTCATTTGGATCTTTTTGTGGTTTTGTGTTTTGAGGTTTTGTTTGCTGCAGTTTTTTAATATATCTATTGAATGCAGCAAAGTGGAAAAGATTTCTCTTTGATTTTTTTGCGTTTTGCGTCTTTTTGATTGCAATTTGAAGCCCAAATAAAATATAAAAGCCGACTAAATGCAAAATTTAAGAACAAGAGCGTTTAAGTTGCAAGCAAAGTGTTCAAAAGCTCAATTAGGGATTAAAGTTGTGAAGAAATGGAAAACTCGTCGACCTGAACTGTTGCGTTTGCAGGACATTTTGGCTGCAATTCAAAAACGACTGGAGGGCCAACACGCAGCAGACCCCCTCTACGGGGGCCCCCCTTTGCCCCCTTATGAAAACGTCAGTCTTTTTCGCCAAGTCCAATCTTCGGAAATTAATGAACAACAAACCAGTTCTTTCCTCCAGCAAGTTGGAATGGAAGTGGGGTCTTTAGCGGGGATTCACGGCGACCGAGCGGGGATCCGAAACATACCCTAGGCCCCAAACCCTAAACCCTAAACCCTAAACCCTAAACCCTAAACCCTAAACCCTAAGCCCTAGGGGGGTGCGGGGGTGGGCCGGCAGTTCTTTCCTCCAGCAAGTTGGAATGGAAGGGGGTTTATTTGGTGGCATTTGTGGAGAGAACTGGAACAAGAAACACCTCCTAGGCTGTACACCCTAAACCCTAAACCCTAAACCCTAGGGGTGGGCGAAAAGGAGGAGAAGTGGAACTGCGGAAAATCAGAAGGGACTTGAAGAAGCGGAAAAGAAGTGGAGTCCTTTTATGGAAATATTTGAATATTTATATTTATATTTATATTCAAATATTAAAGTCCAGATAGGCATTGTGGAAAGAAGCACTGGTGCGCATTGCCCCCGGAGTTCGGGTGTCTCGACAGCGCGAGAATGCATTTCAAAAAATGCATTTCAAGAAGAAATGCATTTAATAAATGCATTCAAACAATAAATGCATTTATTGATAAGTGCATTTAATAATAATTGCATTTAAATGCAAATGCAATTAAGTCAAAGTTCCATTTAAATGCAAACGCCCCCGACTTGTCCTGGCCGCAGCACTTGGCATGCATGCAACTTGCATGCATGCAACTTGCATGCATGCAAAGTGCTGCATTAGCATGCATGCAGCTTGCATGCAAGCAACTTGCATGCATGCAATTTGCATGCAAGGGCCACTTCTTCGCAATTAATCTGCGCATGCATTTAAAAGGCAAAGGCCTAGTGAGTCGAAGTGCAAAAAAGTGGAAAGTGCCATTTAATTCAAGTTGAACGTCTGCTTTTTGCTTTTTTGCTTTTTGCAAATTTCAAACAAAAACAAAACCCTAGAGTTTAGGGTTTGGACTTCTTCTAATCTCCTTTGCTGCTTCCTTTCGTCAAATTTAAAATCCAAATAGGAAATGAAAGAAAAACAAACAAGTCAAATGCCCAGCCACTCAACCAGGTGTACAGACACCCCAGAGCGAAACATAAAATGCAAAGTTTTTTCTCATTTGTCTTCTTTTCATTTTATCTTTCTCTCATTTTAAAAGAAGAAAATAGAAGACTGTTAGTTAAAACCCTCCTGGAATCTACAAAGTAAAGAAACCCGAGCTAAACCCTAAACCCTAACCGTAATGGGCTATCTGGGGTGTTGGTAGATTAATTAATTTGGGATTAAAATGCAGAAGTGGTCAAAAGGTAATCTCAAACCCTAAACCCTAAACCCTAAACCCACACTACGGCGGGCGAGGGGCCAGTGCTGATTGACTGCCGCAGCGAATTCCCACTTTTGCCTCCTTCTTTAGAGGGTTTAGGGTTTAGGGTTTAGGGTTTAGGGTTTGGGGCTTCGGGTGTTCTAGGGCTTGTTTGGGACGTTGTGAAGAGGCAACAGCGTTTATAGAATTTGTGCAACTCTAATTTATTTCTTTTTATTCATTTTCAAAACATTTAATCAAAAAAATAAAAAAAAATTTTTCTTCATCTGGACAAAATATTCATGTTCATATTCCCATTTCTGTTGGCCTGTCTTCACAGCTCGCCGCACTTGCTGAATATTCCCGTTGAAACAAAAAAGACGAAAAAAATTATTTATTTATGTTAATTAATTAATTAATTAATTTATTTATTTAAATTTATAAATAAATGAAATAAATTAAAGTTCCACTTTGGTGGCAGAAGAAGTCTGGCGGCAAGAAGTGGCTGGCGCATGCGTTTGGGGCTGCATGCGGCGTGGGGTTAGAGTGATTGCATCGACTTGTGCGGCTTTTTGTTGGGTTTTTTTGCTTTTTTTTCTCCTTTTGGGTTCTTTTATCTTTTTAAAAAGATTGAATGAGTTGAAAAGGAGAAAACTCCGAAAATGACCACCTTCGTCCCGCTTGCGGCCGACACCGACGGCACCGCCTCGGCAGTTGCTGTGGGCGAGTGGCTCCTCCACTGTGCGTCAGTTTCGAATTTGGTTTTAAATTTATTTATTTAATATTCTTTTGAATTCCAAAACTTCTTTTCTTTCATTTCTGGCCAAAAAGAACTCCGCAGACCCTCCCCGGGGCCCGCTGCAGGGGCCCCTCCGATCCGAGTGGATCTTGTTGTGATTCAACTTTCGATTTTTTTAAAATTTTTTTCTTTTTTTGAAGCTTTCTCTCCCCCACAATTGCTGCATCAAGTTTGGGAATGACTTGGCTTCATAAAGGCCCCTTTTGTTCACTTGTTGCAGCTGAAAAGTTGAAATTCATGTTTTCGAAGCAGCGAGTGTTTGCCTTCGTTTTGCAGTTCCTGCACAGCAATCTGCGCGGCTGCGGCTGTGGGATGCTGCGTTGCACTTCTGAGTTGAATTTGGAATTCATTTTGAAGAGTTTTGATGTTGGAAATGTTCGGAATTTGAATTTGCAACTCCGCGTGCGCGCAGTGATCACCCTGTACGACTCGGAAGACACGCAGCGGACCAAGGACTACTACCGGGAGTTCATGAGCTGCTTCACGCGCGACGAGGCAGCAGGAGAAACCAAAATAACAAATCCGATTAATCTTTTATCTCTTTTGCTTTCTCAAAACGAGTTGGTCTTTCGTTGGCTGGGCGAGATCCGCAGTGCGCAGGACGCCCAGGGCCAGCCGCCCGCTGCGGCGGAGACTCGACCGGAGGTAATTCGCCGAAAATTCCTCTTTTTTCGAATTCTCTTTTTCTAAATTCGTTTTATTTTTTGTTTTCTTTCGTTTTTCGCGGTGATCGCGCGCTTTTAGCGGCAGTTTCCGCGGAAATGGGGTGCGCATACACCCCAAGTTCCGCGCAGGTTTCGGCTTTCCGTTTCTTGAACTTTCTCCATTTTGCAAATTGCGAGTAGATTTGAACTCCAAACGACGCCCTTTTCTCGCAAGCACTTCTATTCTTTTTCTTTTTATTCTTTTTCCCCTCTGCAGCTCAAAAAGTCCTACGGCGACGCCCTCAGAGAAGTGCAAGACTTCTTCATGCTGCTGATGTCGCTGGTGGTGCTGCGGATTACAGACGTGGAGGCGGCGGGCCAAATGGCCGGCAACTTCTGCGCAGTTTTTAGAGCTTCAAAAGACCAGCCGGAGTTCAGGTTGAAGCTGTAAGTTTCGTCTTTTGATTTGAAATCAAATCCAAAAAAGATCCTTTTCAAAGAATGCAAAATCCAGTTTGCAGAGCCTCCTTTTCTCCTTCTTTTCCCTTCTTTTCCCGCTAAATTTCATCCATTTTAAATGCCTTTGAGGCAGCAATTAAAAACAATTTTGCTGCTGCTGCTGCTGCTGCAGCGCCTTCGAAATTCGAAATGCTGCTGCAGCGGGGTTTGCTGCATATTTGAGTCTTATTTTACATTTGATGCGTCAATTATTTTTCTCTTACTTGGTGCTATTTAATTTGATTCATTTAATTTAGTTTAATCTCAAGATCTGAAGATCTGGCGGGGGAAATTGATGATTTTCATTTCTTTTTTGTTTCATACTACATGCGTTTTTCTACTTTGAATCTTCAATTGTTCTAATGAATACAATTGCTGCTGCTGCTGCTGGCTTGGCTGCTGCTGCGGGTATTTGCTTGAGTCTAAACCGCGGTGGTGGCTGCAGCAGCAAGCTGGCAGCAGCAGCAGCAGCAGCAGCAACTCGCGCAGCAGCAGCAAACGAGCAGCAGCAAGCAGCAGCAGTCTGCTGCGTGTAAAGAAAGCGTTTCTGGAGCACTTTATGACTAAATTGTATCAATCAAATTAAATTAAATTAATTAATTAAATTAAATTAAATTAAATTAAATTAATTTGTTTTGTTTGTTTTCAGACTTATGGGCCTCTACAACGTCTTCCCCCCTTCTTTCCCTTACCGCTTTCCCATTTTTGTCGCCATTTTGGAATATGCGACGGAGACCAATTTGTTCCATTTGCTGCTGCCCTACGTGAAATATGTGCGGCATTTTGCTTCAATTTAATTAAAATAAAATGAAATAAAATAAAATTAATCATTTAAATCTATTTAATTATTATGTTTGGTTTAATCAATGTCATTAAAGTCATTGAACTGGTCTTTGGCGTTGGAGCAGCAGCAGCAGCAGCGGCACGAGCTGCTGCAGCAGACACAGGAAAAGAGAACTTCTACTTCATAGTTTTTGCTGCTGTTGCTGCTGCTGCTTCTATTGTTGCTGCTGCTGCTGCTGCTGCCAGAAGGCACTTGTTTGTTATCTGTTTGTTATTTAATTGATATGTATATTGTATCTATGAGTTATTTGTATTTCATTTATTTGTTATTTATTTTTGAATTATTTGTTATTTACTTATCTGTTTCGCACAAAGTAACCATCGCAGCAGCAGCAGCAGCAGCAGCGCAGCACCCTCGGACCAACTCCATTTAACTGATTCGACCGAATCAAGCCAAACAAATAAAATAAAACAAATTGAATTAAATAAAATTAATTAAATTAAATTAATTAAATTAAATTAAATTAATTAAATTAATTAATTAAATTCAAATGGTGCTGCGACGCTGCAGATAAACGAATGGGCCAAAGACTGGAATTTGGGGCCAGCAGCAAAGCGCCAGGTGTATCTGATGCTGGCCAACGGGCTGAAGAAGTTGGGGAAGACGTGGGCAAAAAAAATGAATTAATTGAATTAAATTAATTAAATTAATTAAATTAAATTAGTTAATTTAGTTCGATTTAATTCATTTAATTCATTTAATTCACTTAGTTCCGTTAGTTTGCTTTTGCAAATTCAGAGAAGAGGCTTATGACTACCTCAAACGCCACGTCCAGTTCTTCCAGGGAGAAACTGAAGAAGTTTTGAACGACCCGTAAGACAAAGCTTTGCATGCATGCATGCATGCACGCGCTTTGCATGCATGCATGCATGCGCTTTGCATGCATGCATGCATGCGCTTTGCATGCATGCATGCATGCGCTTTGCACGCATGCATGCGCTTTGCATGCATGCGTTGTGCAGGCACTGTGCATGCAATAGGTTTTGCTTTCGCAACTTCTCTAGCCTCACACAGCCCCATTCCTTCGCACCAATCAGTACTTTCAAAAAGCAAATAAATCAGCAATCAAATTAAATAAAATAAAATAATAAACAATAAATAATAAACGAATAAATAAGTGATTAATTAATTATTAACTGCTTCTTTGGTGCTGCTGCTGCAGCGCCACGGTGGCTGCAGCAGTGGAGCTGGCGACGGACTCTGTGAAGATGGGGGACATTTTGTACTTCGACTCTTTGTTGAGTTATTCTGCAATTCAAAATTTAAATAAAACTGAACATTCTTTTCTTTTCCATCTTCTGCAAGTCTTCTGCAAACAGGGCCCTCAGCAGCTCGAAGAGCTCCTCGCCCAGCACCCCGAAATGCTCGACAAATACGGTCTGTCCACGAGGGTTTAGGGTTTCGGCTTTAGGGTTTAGGGTTTACCGCAACACACGAGGATTTACAAGCCTTCACGAGCCTTTACAAGGGTTTACAAGCCTTTACAAGGGTTTACAAAGGTTTCCAAGGGTTCACAAGGGTTTTCAAGGGTTTAGAGGGGTTTCCAAGGGTTTAGAAGGGTTTAGGAGGTTTCCAAGGGTTTAGAAGGGTTTAGGAGGTTTCCAAGGGTTTAGAAGGGTTTAGAAGGGTTTCCAAGGGTTTCCAATGTTGCGCAGCGCGTAGCGTTTCCCAGGCTCCAGGGCTGGCGCCGACGAAACGGCTGGCCCGGCCCTCCTGCCTGGCGGAGGTCCAAGTTAGGGTTTAGGGTTTAGGGTTTAGGGTTTGGCGCGTTCAGGGCTGGGCCGCGAGGGCTTGCTGCAGAAGCTGCAGCTGCTGTGGGTGGCCTCCACGCTGCAGCGCCGGCGGCTCTTTTCCTTCAAACAGCTGAGCGACTTTTCGCAGCTGTCGGAGGCGACTGCGGAGCAGCTGGTGGTGCAGGCCATTGGCCAGGGTTTGGTGGAGGCGAAGGTGGACCAGATCAACAAGCTCGTCCACGTCCGGTCGGTTTCGAGGGTTTGCGGGGGTTTGTGGGGGTTT